TGTGTGTGTGTGTGTGTGTGTGTGTGTGTGTGTGTGTGTGTGTGTGTGTTTATATGCTTTGAGACGGTAAGACGGTGACTTATTTGAGAAAGAAGAAGTAAAACGGTCATTTTAAATGTACCAAGACGAGCGTGGTGACTGAAAACAAGGAAGCTGTCAGAATAGTTTTAAAAAAAGCTGAACAAATTAGTGACGAATGCTTTAATCTTATTCAGCTGGTTGCTAACAGGAGGAGTGGGGGAGGAAAAAGTGATGGGAGGGAAGAGAATATGATGAAAGACGAGCGATAAGAGCACACAGAAAAGTGCCGATGATCAACGATAAGAGAAAAAACAGGAGAAATGTGCTTTTTTTCTGGACTAAAACTCAGGTTTCCACAGGAGACAAGGTGAGGAAGCTGAATAGGGTCTCAGTGTGTCGGTGTACCGGCGCCGGTTGTTGCCTGGTAACGGCTGCTAGGTACATTCTCTGCGCTCTGATTGGACGAGAGGCTGGCGTGACTCAGCCGTTCCTCTGTGAGAAACAGCAGAGGTGTGGAAAAATTCGAGACCTTTAATAAGAAAGAAAAGACTGGAGACGAGGCTCTGAGCGAAGGAGCCCTGTATTAAAAAGGGCATGGCTGGGAACAAACATACGGCTGTTCCTGATTGGTCAACATTTAACGAGACGTATCAATACCAGCGTGAGACCATAACCGTCTGCCGAGGGGTGGAAGCACCCTGAGCTGCACCATAACTAAGCTTCAATAAACACAATCAGAAACAGGTGTGAGCAGGTTTTCAAAGTGAACAACCTCTTCACATGATGCATGGAAAGAGAACAAATAACATTTTACATTTTAAATATATCGACACCAATAAATGTGTCGATTAAGCAGGAGGAGAGCCTGGGAATGTTTGGATTCTGGCTCCATTTGAGGAGGAAAACCGCTCATTAACCGTGTTTTCATCAGTAATTTTTATGAGCATTTTGAAGCATCGCGTTAGAAAAGGGGGATGAAAACGGCAAAATTTAAAAAAACTTTTGCAAAAAAGTTTTTTCGCTCACTTGAGGTGGATTTTGGCTTTTCCAAAAAAGAGTTGATGTGCAAAGATGGAAACACATTTGCTGAATAAGTTGTGACATAGAACAGTAGCTGTGTTTCCATTACAAATGTGCGCAAAACTTTGTCGATATTCTGTTAATGTCGAAAAACACAGTTTCACAACTGCTGTGTTTCCATTAAGTAAGAAATGTTATTAAAGTCACGTGAATACGTTTGTTCTCATGATAAGTCATTACAAACATGGCAGCGATGGATGTAAACACATAGCATGTTGCTACCACGACACTAGCGCTCATCATCAGAGGAGACGTCGGCGTCTTTTATCGAAGCTTTCCAGAGACAAGTCCCTACTTGGGAGCGGCTACGTATGCTGTGTTTTTGGGAAATTGTAGTCGGTGAGTTTACTATTTTATACTACTTCTGTGATATTACTTCTACTTCTACTTCCTGTTATCTTCGTCATCGTCTTTTTCACCAGTAGAAACAGCCGGTTGTTGATCACGTGACTCCTGTGATGCGAAAAAAGTTTTTCCATTGCAGTTTTGCCAAAAACACCAATTTCGATACGGCCGAAAAACCACTTCATCCTAGTGCAAAAACATTTTGTCGAAAAACGTAATTTTTCTCGAAATTGACGTGTTTCCATTGAGCAAATTGATTTTCGAAATTCTAATTTGCGCATTTTCATGGTCAATGGAAACACAGCTAGAGACCTGGATCAGCTGTTCCTGTTGTCCAATGATTGTAGCGGCTGCAGTTGGCTCCGCCTCCTACTGTCCATGTCTTCCCAGATATTCCCGTAACGTGAAGAGAATTACATTTCTTTCTCTACGTCTCCAGACAGCAGGAACATCACCAACACCAGCTGACATGACAGAATAATTACAACTTTCCTGATAACTTCTCTCCATCACCCTGAGACGTGTCCCTGAGAGTCTACTTCCTGTTTACTACTTCCTGTTTACTACAGCCATGCGTAACATCAATATCTGACATAATTACACTTGTTGATTCGCTCCAAGCCAGTTGATGGAAACACGTCTGATTTGCATTTCTTCTTTTTTTGCGACATTTTAAAAGTTTGCTCAAAATTCGGAGTAAAATTGGATGGAAACACGACTACTGAGTGTTTTTGTTTATTTATAGTGAGTTAGAGGCTAAAATAAGGGCTCCTGCTTGTTTGAAAATGTAGCATTAGAAGCACACGTAAAGCAGTTGTGAGCGTGGAGAGTCTGGTTTTAGGTTCCATACCAGTAAAGATGGGACAGAGCTTCTCCCAGCAGGTGATGCCACCCTCAGAAGTGTACTGACCGAGGGCGACTTCCAGGAAGAAGACTGGCAGGCCACCGCCAAACAGGAAGATGAAGTAGGGGATGAGAAATGCACCTAGAAATCAAAGGAATACACGTAGGATTAAGTAAAACAATGCAGATTTTACAGATTATGTTTGAACTTCTTCCACGAGTGTTAACCATCCCAAGCCTTACCTCCACCATTCTTGTAGCAGAGGTACGGGAAACGCCAAACATTCCCTAAACCCACAAAGCCGCCGGCCACAGACAGAACAAAGTCCAACTTGCTGGCCCACTTCTCCCTCTGGGGGTGTTTGCCCTCCGCCTCGTCTTCAGGCCGAGTGCCAGGGCTCTTACCAGGAGACGGCTTCAAAGTGTCCTTGTGGAAGTCCTTCAAACACTGGAGTTTCTCTTTTTGAGCCATTCTGGAGACAAGAAGCAGAAAAGTTCAAAATATAAGATCATTTTCACAAAGTTTTTATACCTCGTTGTCAGTCTCTACAGGTACAACAACAAATATATATATTTACTGAACAAAAGGCAGAAAATACCGAATATTTTTCAACATAACATTGTCTCAGTTTATAACTCTGCCATGAATTGTGACGAGAAATATGTATTCATTGAAGGAAGGCCAAGCCTTCCCTTAACAAGAAGTAGTTTAAATGTACGACGAGTATACTTATTTCATTGGGGTGCAACAATACATGTACCTGTACACTAAAAATGAGGCAGTGTACTCTAAGTTTACTTTTTATAAACTATATTTGATGTACGGTAATTAATAATAGTATACTTGGCCTTATATTGAAAAGTATAAAGAGAAGTTTAAGTACATTAATACTATACTTTTTTAAAATGTTATTTAAACATATCAAAGTATCAAGATTCTGTCTTGTGATCTTGTAAACACATTACAGTGTACTGTCCATACAGTATGGGTTATGTTTAAGAATACTTCAGTACATGAATAGTATTCTATAAGTAAGCGAACTTACAATTATAATCTAACAATTAAAATGGCAAAAATAGTATTTTAGTTTTAGTCATTCATAAAAGTGTACTTCAAGTTAAATCAACTGAAATGAGGACAAGAAGTATAACTAGTGCAAAACTAGTATAGAGAAAAGTATACTATAAATATAATTCAGCAAGCTTAAATGTGAACCACAAGTGTATACACGCAGTACACTAGTAATATATAGATGAATGTACTTGAATGTATAATTTGGAAAACTTTAAAAAAAAGAGTTTATAACAGTATATTTAAATGATACTTTTTATAAATTTAAAAACGTCCCAATTTAGTCTGAAGAAGTATTAAATCAGTATACTTTCTAGTACACTACAAGTACATGGTGCATAGTATACTTGATATACTTAAACGTATACTCAAATATAATTATTAAAATGAACTTTAAGCTTGATACTTTTTGCTCTGAGTTTAAATCAACAAAAACATTTAATGTGACAGTTGGAAGCTCAAACTGTTCTCATGGTTTACAGGACCGGACCAGCTTCTGTTTCTGCACAAACAACTCGTTTAATCTGATGTCGTCGGAAAATAAATCTAAAACCAAAACTGAAAACAAAAACAGGACTAGACTTTTATTTCAAGGTTCACATCAGTCGTGTTCAAAACAAATTAAATAAAGTCTGACTTCCCATTTAGTGACAAGAGAGTCTCTTTTACTGGTCGTCATTTCTCTTTGAAAATACCTGAAATGGTCACCAAAACTCAAGGTTCAGATCCAGTTTGAAAAGGATTGAAAGTTGGATTTTCCAGCACCAGGCCGTATCATTTGATTTACACGACACGTTTTTTTATACTGACGTGAAACAGGAAACGCACCAGCAGACTACTTCCTCTTTCTGTCTGTGGCTCATTGGTTCGACGAATAAAGTGATCACGGCAACAATGAAACTAGCATCTCTGTAAATTTCCACTCAGCAGCAGCCGTGAAGCAGGGCACCAGAGGCACACTTAACAGTCAGCACATGTCTGTCACTGTGGAAAATGTCCTTATCTCGTTCCATCTGGCAGCGGGCTGCGCCTTCAGCTTCACTCCTTCTCCACATCATTCATTCGTTCTGCATCCGACTGCAAGAAGACCACCGTTCAGCCAGGATTTGTCATTTATATCTATTCATTTTTACAGTTTAGGCTACAAGCCTAGCTTTTTCCCAGCAAATAATCACCATTCATCTCTACAAAACATCTTTTTTTTTCATCTTTACATTATTTAAAATATGTTAAAATTTCAAAGCAACATCATTTACATATTCATTTTGCGATTAACTTAACTTTAATGTGAAAGTATAAACAGGCACTTCCTGCTTTAGGAGTTACTGGAATCAATCATGTCTGAGGCTAATTGCTTCTGATCAATACTTCGTATGAGAGAGTCCAGAACACCAGACAGAGTAAAGTTTACAACACGTGTAATATTACTAGTCTTGATTATAAAGTTTCTAACTAAAGAAGAATTTAGAGTTTTCTAATGACCAGAACCATCTGAGAGCCCAGACAAGTGTTGGTCTGTGTTGATGAAAGTGTGGGATCAGAGCAAAACTCTGGACTTCAGAAGCCGGCCGACATCACACACACTTTCTTCTTCCCCTGACAACTGACAGAAACTCATGCTCTTCTTTTAAGACCTGAAACATTTCCACTGGACTGACCACTGATTAATTCACACATTCATTACCCCGTACCATTCCACTTCACATTTATTTTACTCTTCCACTAATTCTGCTACATTTTTCTACGTTTCCTTTTTTACCCACATCCCTTTGTTGCTTTAAAAGCATTTAAATATTGTTTTATTGTTGCAAATAAAGCATTTCTGCCTTCTAACTAATTACGTCAGAGATTGTGATTTAAATGAGTTAATCCAGTTCTTAAAATGTGACAAATGAACTGTGTGTCTTTGACAATTTGTTGCTGAATGATCCTCATTCATTCTACGAATGAAAAGTATGATGGAAAATAAGGACTTGACCACATGGAAATATGAGTTTTCTGAAACAATCTCGTCTTGTGTTTGGTGTCTAAAAATATCTTTATAAACAAGCCACAGATTTAATTCAATGTCACATTATTCATAAAGCACATTCAAAAGAACAAAAGTCAAACTAAGATTTAAAAGTCTCAGCCGACCAAATATGAAGAAGTAAACACACATTAACCATCTTGTGGCCATGCATTAACTATCTTGTGGCCATGCATTAACTATCTTATGGCCACAAGCTTTGTCATGACCATGCATAACTATCTCATGGTCACAAATTATGTCATGGCCATGCATACACTATCTTGTGGCCTCACATTATCCATTTTGTGGCCATGTATTAAGTGTTTTGTGGCCATGCACTCACTATCTCATGGCCACACATTAACTATCCTTTGATCACTAGTTATGTTGTGTCCATACATTAACTATCTTATGGCCATGAGCTATGTCACACATAACTGTATTGTGGCCGTGCATTAACTGTCTTATGACCATGAGCAATGTCATGGCCAAACAAAACTATCTATCTCGTGGCCACAAATTATGTCATGGCCATGCATACACTATCTTGTGGCCTTACATTATCCATTTTGTGACCATGCATTAACTATGTTGTGGCCATGCACTCACTATCTCATGGCCACACATTAACTATTCTTTGGTCACTAGTTATGTTGTGTCCATTCATCAACTATCTTATGGCCATGAGCAAAGTCATGGCCAAACAAAACTATCTATCTCATGGCCACAAATTATGTCATGGTCATGCATACACTATCTTGTGGCCACACATTATCCATTTTGTGGCCATGCATTAACTATGTTGTGGCCATGCACTCACTATCTCATGGCCACACATTAACTATCCTTTGGTCACTAGTTATGTTGTGTCCATACATTAACTATCTTATGGCCATGGGCTATGTCACACATAACTGTGTTGTGGCCATGCATTAATTATCTTATGGCCACTAGTTATGTCATGGCCATGCATTAACTATTTTATGGCCACATGTTAACTCTATCATGGCCACAAGTTATGTTGTGGCCATGCATTAACTATCTAGTGGTCACACATATTTAATCCTATGTTTTAGTTTAGTTTGAGCTTGTTTTAGCTAATTTTTAGTTGTTTTATGTGATTGTCTGTTCTTGTCTATCTGTGGTTTAATCTGAATGACAATAAATTTGACTAATTAAAAAAATAAACTGTTCTACAGCTTTGGAGCAACAACTGCAAACGCCTGATCACCTCTGGATTGAATTTAAGATAAAGGAACATCTAAAAGAAACTGGTTGGTAGACCAATATAATAATTATTATTATCATTATTGAACCTTAGAAAATCAGATGTCTGATCACAAACTGAACGCAGAAATAATTCAACAAAATAAAGAAGAGAAAAAGTGTGATGTAGAGACATAAAAGGGAATAGGTGACAGGTTCGCACTTTGGTTCTACAAATATCCCGCAGACTGTGACCAAATGCAAAATACGTAAAAACTAAAAATAAAAAAACAGGTGCAGCAGTTTTCACCTAAAACAAACGTAATGATACTTTATGTACAATAAACTTTGTAAATCAGAAAAAAACAACTCCAGGTAAATAAAAACCAGGGAGACTGGACGTCTTTCTCCGATATTTAATCGTTAAACAACACTCTGTGTTGATTCTTAGCTCATTTGTTTTCAACACTGCAGGTTAGTGAATGTGACAGGAAGTTCCTGTTTTCACAAACAAACACTAAATCCAAGATACACATCTCCTCTCCATCTGGGTACGGCCGCTTAGTCCTTCTCTTCAAGTATTCGGAACCAAAACACACAATTTCCTGACATCACCGTTTTACAGATTTCAATCATGCAGAAGCCTGTTGCAACTGTGCACAAGTTTTCATTCCAGTCCAGCGTTTGTTTCCTATCAGCCATGCGGGGGGTGAAAACCACCCGCTTGAGAATGTCGAAACAACTAAATTATAAATTTAGACTCGATCTGCTGCCAGTAAGTCACAAGATTTCAAGAAACGGCTACAAAAAAAAAAATAAAATAAACAGCAAAACAACACAAACCTTTAGTTTGATAGTAGCTGAAAGAGTCAGGCAAAGAAATTCTTCTAAAAATTAAACAAACAGCATATTGTTTTCTTATATTAGATATTTAAACAAGTTTTGACAACTTTATTTTAGTTTTGGACATTTTAAGCCAGATTTTGACACCTGCACAGGAACTGTTTGGTCCAAAATGTCCAGATCAAAAAACAATAATAATCAAAAATGAATAAATCACTGACGTAAATCTGCCTATCTTTATGTCCAATGTGTCCTCCATAAAATTCATAATAAATGTGAGGCTTAGGAGTGCAACAATCCGTGTATCTGCATCAAACCATTCAATACACACTAAGTATGGAACAATACACACTAAAATACAGATTTTTAAAATTATTTTATCAACTTGTCTTCTGAAGATGCTCTGTGTTGAAGGATCAGTGGATCTGTGTTCGACTACTCCACCTAGGCAGATCCATCAAGAAACTTGCTGTTTCAGAAACTCTTAATTTAAAAACTGGACTTTTGAGGTTAAACAAATGTTCATAATTCATTTTTAATAAATTACAAGTTAAGAAGGGGATGGACATCTCTCTTTTTTATATCAAAACAATACCAAACTGTGAGAATGAAGTACCGAATGGAGCCTAATCGTGACTTTTCTGTGTCGTTGCAGCCCTGGTAAGGGTAGATGGCAGATGCTAAGGTGGGTACGACGGGGGTGGACAACAAAATAACGTGCATGACCAAGAATACAAATCTGCAAACGCTCTCTTTGCTTGATCCTCACAAAAAAACGGCAAATCTTGTTTTTGTCGTGACGATCAGGGAAAAGCCAAACACATAGACAATGTTTGAGTTTCACCAGAGACGTCTGCGGGAACAAAATCCACCATCTGTAAAAAGCTTTAAAGCTAAAAGACAAACTCTTCCTGTTATACTTCTAACTATTGATCTAAGATGATTTTATTAACAATTAATTATTTATACTGCAAGAATAGAAAATCCACATAAGGGTTCATTCTTGAGTATTGGTGCCACAAGAGGGAGCTGGTTTGTCACTTTCACTGTCCTGCAGCTTCCATCCTCCTGTGGGATGAAGATCCTTGGCATCAGTGGGGGGAGCGCCCGACTGATCCCACCTCTAACAACAATACGCTTCACTCAGGTTCTGGGTGTTACTTACCATCCTTACTGCAGCCGAGCGAAGCAAAGTAAAAGTATGCAGGGTTACTTTCAGAGCAGGATATATTCTGTGGGTCAGCGGCTGACAGCGGCTAACATGAGCAGCAGAGCTGAAGGTAACACAAAAACATGCAAATGAGCTCCGTGCTGTTTCAAGTCAGAGAAAGTTCCCTCGTCTCCGTTTACAGGGGCAGAAGTGACTCTGGGAAGGCTCAGAGCTGAGATTTGACAAACACACACACACACACACACACACACAAAAACTCACAAACACACACACTGAAAACCTCAGGTTACAGACTTGATGAATCATTTAAGAGCAAACAAGCCTCCAGTTAATACAGAAGCTTTCAGCTGCAGTTTAACAAACAAATAACACAACTGAAGACCACAAACTTGCAGAGTTCCCACAGCCTGCCGGTGCAGAGCAACAGTTCTCAGGTGCAGCCGGCCCACCGGAGGCCAGCCCTCTCTCACCGTAACTGACCTAAATGCAGAAGGACCGGCCTGGGTTCAACGTCTTCGCAGACAAACGTATCTTATTTCATTCCTCAGATCAGTTCCAGCTAAAATAACACATTTACTGACTGCGTGCGTCAACCTGAGCTTTGTTTGAGAAGAAATCAGCTGTGAGAACCTGAGGAACCACACACAACACAAAATGTTTAAATAAAACATCAGCGCTCGACTGATACGGGTTTTTCTGTGGCCTGCTGGCCAATATAACTTCTTTCTTTCCTTCTTTCTTTCTTTCTTTCTTTCTTTCTTTCTTTCTTTCTTTCTTTCTTTCTTTCTTTCTTTCNTTTCTTTCCTTCTTTCTTTCTTTCTTTCTTTCTTTCTTTCTTTCTTTCTTTCTTTCTTTCTTTCTTTCTTTCTTTCTTTCTTTCTTTCTTTTTATTGTGCTGGGAAAAAAGATTTGAGGAAGTCTTTTGCAGTTTTAAATGACAAAATACAAGTGACGACTCATCATTTCTCAACATAAATACGGATGATTTGGGCACAATTATTGTGTTGCTTTTTGTAAACAAACTGCCTGAACAAATATATAGTTATTTGTCTAAACCAAACTCAAACAAGTCTGGGCATAAATGTGTGGCTATGTTGGGTTTCATGACTTTGTGCTAATCTGCTCGTCAGTTTGTGTTTTATTAGTCTGTAAAAGTTTCACACAGACAAACAACAGTCTGGTTTTTACAGAGAATTTATAATATTACTGGTACATAAACCTGCAGCATTCAATAAACTTTATTTATTTATTAAATGTTCGACTGTGTATGTGAAAACATGCATGATCTCTGGCATCCATCACGTGCTGCAGCACCTTCTGCACCCCTACTTCACACAACCCTGAGTCTGGGTAATTTTCCATCTTTGAAATTTAACAACAAACTATCGTAATTTTTTTGTAATGATTTCTACTAAACAAATAACTAAATTGTTTTAAATATGTATGAAGAACAGTGAAGATCTGATGTTTTTATTTTTTTCCGTTTTTATAATATTATTGGCTCATTTTACTTAGTTTATTGTTTCTCTGTTTGCTTTTATGTTTTTATTTGTGTACAGCACTTTGGCCAGTGGTGTTTTTAAAGTGCTGCATCAATAAAGTTGTGTTGTGTTGTTTTGTATCTTTGTTTCTGGCTCCGCTTGTTTCCTCTTTACTGCCACCTACAGGTCAGGAGGAGAGCTGCAGCAGCACAGGTGGAAACAGCAACAAACACTTCACAACAATTAATGTGGCTGTTATACCTCATACTCATGTTTTATTCTTCATATTGTAGCAAATACATGTTTGTGTTCCCTTGTTCATAAAACAGTATTAATCATATTTTTGTTTTTAATTTATTACTTGAAGACAATAAAAATGAAAAAAAAAAAAAAGACTCGTGATTCACTTGTTGGAAGTCATAAGGTTAGGAAATCTACTGAGCCCACCAGGGGACATGGGGGATTTTTTTTCTTTTTTGCGTTCCCATGCAAAGGTATTGCGAGGGAACGCAAAAGTATTGCGAGGGAACGCAAAGGTATTGCGAGGGAAC